TCTCCAGGTTCCTATAGTACTCCTTTTGTTTTCTTTTCTTTTCTCTTTTTCTTCTCCTTCTTTTTCTCAGTTGTCCCCACCATGGCTGGTTAAAATCGCTCGCATCACATGCTTATTGGCACTATGTCATCGTGATTGTGTAATAATAATAATAATAATGAGGAAAATGTTGAACGGCCTCTGCTGGGATGACGACTACACCATAGCTCAGTGGTTAGAGCATCGCTGGCTACAAGCGAGGGTCCCTGGTTCGAGTCCTGGTGGTGGCAGTCAAATTTTTTCTTCAGACTTTTCCCGTTTGTCTCTTTCCCTCAAACCAGTCAATAATAATAATAATAATAATAATGTAGCAAAAGCCGGCAGACAGGTTTTGAAGCCATTGCAAGAGGTGCCTGATCAAACAAACGCAGTGTAGTGATATTTCAGACATAAACAAATTGAAAGATATTTTTTCTTGCAGAACAGCAAGCTCAACACTACCACTGGCAAAAGAAAACTGGAACTCAAATCGTACGCACCCTGGATGCGATGGATGCTCATCCACACATTTGGTAAATTACGCACGCATGCAATACATGGCCATCAGGCACAAAATACATATTGAAATTTTCTTGCTCTCACAAAAAATTCGATTTATTCATTTCACCACTGCCACTATCCAAATACTTCCACAGATACTGATTTTCAGCTAAACAAACACGCAAGATTAACACTTGAATCCAACGCACTGCACACAAGATGACAAGGTAACAATGCACACCTTATCACTTGGGGAAGCGCCGCAGAACTGCTCGTAATCGATCAATGTTGTGATTGTTGGAGAATTGCCGCAAACAGCACAGTTCTCTTTGCGCCCGCGCAGGCGCACAGTGCGGAAGAAGCCGCCAAGGGCATCGAAAAGGAGAAGTTTCTGTGAGAGTGTAGCTGAAAGACATTGTGCCAAGACCAAGTCAAGGTTATACTTTGTTCGCCCAAAGACACGTTGCAGATTAATTCAAGGAAAGCAGAAGGTCAGGCATTCTGTATTCAACAAAGTCAATCACCATCGCTAGTGAAAGACCTTCACCCAGTCAATATCCAATCTAATGTCACCATTGCTATTGCAGGAACTTCACCCAGTCAATATCCAATCTGTTGTCACCATCGCTACTACGGATGTATGCTGTGTATACACATCATATAGTGCACTGCATACACTCAGTCATCATTACCGTCAGGAAAAGACAAAAATCAATGGTAGTGGCATTGAATAATATGACCAGTAGCTTCGACTATTGACAGATGCATGACCCCGTATGATTTGTTTATCCGAGCAATATGCGACCTGTTTATATCATTATTATTAGCTTTGAACTACTACAGTCTAAGTTCAACAGCAAAACAAGGTAGATACAGGGTATCTTTGCAGCAATCTTGACAACTTCAATGGCTTGCAGGACACCGATTACGCCAGGAACTGCAACACACGAAGACACAGTAACATATATGTATGGACATACAACACCATCATAACACATAAACACAGGGTAAAATGACAGAAAGAAAAATACCTGCATAGCATGCAGACACCAAGTAAACATCCCTATGTTCCAACTGTGCCACCAAGAAAGAGAGGAGAGGGACTTTTCTGAACAAACTACTCACTATTCATGCTGCCAAATAATTTGATTTATCGGACGTTGTCTGAGAAAGAACCTTTCAATTTTCACAGGAAGCCTAACAGTGGTACATTGCACTGCATGTAGGTGTATTGTGGGAAGGTGAAACACAAGCAAATACACGTATGCAACCTTATCACACGGAGAAGATTGCCCATTGGCCACTACCGCACTAGGCGTCCGCATGTGTCTGACTTTGGGAGAACGTTATTCGGCAGTGCTGTACTATTGTACTGCACCCTTCTTGCTGTGAGAAATATACCGGTATTCGTCATTTCTACCAGGTTGGGCCTTACGAGTTACTTCTCTGCGCTGTGCTGTGCAGGTGGAGCTTAAATGCTGGCTGGCTACTCTTGTCTTTTACAGGAGCAAACTTGGCTGTATTGCTGAGAGTGAATCCTGAGAAGTGACTGTGTTCCCTGAGAGTAAGTCTTACCCATTCCAACAACACCGCCGTCAGAACAATTGGTGACAGTCTCTGGTGGAGGTGGTCGGGGAAACAAGCAACGGTAGCAAGGTCCATCCTCATAGTGATACACGGTCAACTGTAAGACGACGACAACAACGATGACAATGACGACGACAACAACAACAACGGCGACGATGACGACGACGACGACAACAACAACAGCAACAACAACAACGGCGACAACGACAACGACAGCGACAACAACGACAGCAACAACAACGACAACAACAACGACAGCAACAACGACAACGACAACAACGACAACGACAACAACAACAACAACAACAACAACAACAACGCAATAAGCAGGCCATAGCTCACAAATGCAGATATGCATGTGTGCGCAAACTACATGAACATCAGAGATCAAAGTTGATTGTCAGAGAAGTCACTATTGTTTCAGCAGGCCACAGCACAGGCGTGGCAAGTGATATGCAGACCGATGTACACTTACAGTGCCGCAAACTGATTTCTATTACCTCGATTACAGGTGAGAGGCTAGTCGTGTGGTCTTCGGTGCTATGATAGCGTACATTGACCTGGATTTTTGCTTACAGCCGCTAAACATTTAAAATTTTAAAGTCAAAACCAGTAGCTTGAACATTGTGAGCAACCACCTTTCTTAAAAATATCGACAAGGTGACAGCCACTAAACTCTTTCATTTCGAGTCTATTGGGAGATTAGACTCTACAGCACAGCAGGACAGCTTCAGTGCCACAGTGTTCCACATACCTGACCTTCAAAGCGCAACGCACTGCCAGAAACTAGAGGCTTGTTTAGTAGCACACACGCATCATTCACAAGGTACCTACACACATTCATATAGAGAAACAACAACAACAACAACAACAACAACAACAACAACAACAACAACAACAACAACAACAACAACAACAACAACAACAACAACAACAACAACAACAACAACAACAACAACAACAACAACAACAACAACAACAACAACAACAACATCAACAACAACAACAACAACAACAACAACAACAACAACAACAACAACAACAACAACAACAACAACAACAACAGCAACAGCAACAACAACAACAGCAACAACAACAACAACAACAACAACAACAACAACAACAACAACAACAACAACAACAACAACAACAACAACAACAACAACAACAACAACAACAACAACAACAACAACAACAACAACAACAACAACAACAACAACAACAGCAGCAACAACAACAAATGACTTTGAAACAGGTTAAATATCAGAATCAAGGAATTCTGGAGTTGCAGGAAAGTCACAAGTCTTGGACGTTTGTGGTAGTAACGTTACATGACATACTATCAAGCTTCTGTGCGTCCTTTCTTTAAGTTCTTAGCATGTGCTGCATTTGACAGATATAGTACTCGGGCTAGCTGTTAAACAGTTGGCTGATTGCCCAGTCTGATCACTTCCATACTTATGTCATTATTGTATTGAACATATTCATAGCATTTAACCAAGTGCAATACGCCATGCTGATTTGTGCTGTTCACCCTCATGACAATACATACCGAATCTAAAACGAAAAGAAAGAAAAAACACAAACTTCAAATTGCACGGCAAAGGATTATGCATCCGTCTTCACTAACCTTGTTGCCACGTTGTCTGAAGCATCCACAACAATGTCGTATCTTTAGTGATGCGAATGTTGCAAGCTTAGGGATAAAGTAGTTCCTTTCTCACAGCATCAACAGCCTGTTACATTGCACAATGAACACTAAATTACTATCCCTCAAGTCTCAGTGAAGCTGCAAGTTCTACTCATAAATGTACTCACCAGTACAAGCAAAAGAATACATTTTTCGGAGAAGTAGTGTTGCGTTCAAAGATGTTTGCTTCAACCTATACTGCTCTCCTGACGTATTTTTGACTGTACAACTTTTCAATGTGTGGACCAGGAGTCACTATTCGGCAAAAGAAGCCTTTACTCTTCAAAAGCTGAGGTAGAACAAAATCTTGCCGGGCACTTAAATTAAAAAAAAGCTGGTGTATGGTCAAAATGTGAATGAGGAGTGGATACTGGCTAACGATGTCCATGGCATTGAAACTATTGAGAGCAACATGGTGACGTCGGCACTGCACATGTGAGTTGATCCTGTAAACAACACAGGGCATAAAGCAGCTTAGGAACACTATACATTGGATTGCATTTAGAACATGAGCTGGCTGGACGACTTGGTGTTATGATGCTGATGTCGCCTTAGAGGAGTAAACGAAGTTCACAGTCGTGATTCTCAACCTCAAAATTACAAAGTAAGGCAAAGAAGTATTGTCCAACAACATCTTCAACAACAACACCCCTGCACTATGCGCCACTGGACATCAGTACAGGTGCCTTGGTCCCTCTTCCCAAGCCTGGAAACAAGCATACAGGGCCAGTCAGCAGTAGGTTAATAGTACATGTACCGGTACTGGTAAAACCAGGTCTCAATGGTACCCATGCGGCTGGCCTACTGTATGGTCAACCCTGCAAATTCAGCTGAGCATCCAAAAAAGGTTTTCAACATATTCACGTCAAAGAATATTGTGGTACAGGCCATGTGGTCACTGAAAGTAGTTGACAACTTGACCAGGTTGTATTCTTAGACATGTCATACCAACACTTACCTGAACAATGCATCCGCTGCAGAATCGCATTTCCGAACATCAGAGCCTGCCTCCGTGTGTAATACCTGTACAGCAAGATGAGGCAGTGCAATGTGCACACACACATGCACACACACATGCACACACATGCACACACACATGCACACACACACACATGCACACACATACACACACACATGTACACACACACACACATGCACACACAGACACACACATGCAGACACACACAGACACACACACAGACACACACACAGACACCCACACACAGACACACAGACACACACACACACACACACACACACACACACACACACACACACACACACACACACACACACACAGACACACACATACACACACAGACACACACACACACACAGACACACACACACACAGACACACACACACCACTTACATGTTATCACACATAACCATAGGTTAATGTAACTACCCAAATCCTATCCACGCAGCATCAAGATTCAGGAGTATTTAACATAAGCTCCCAAGAGTGTGCAACTCCTGCTACCCTTTCTATGGGGTTCGCCGGTGGCAAAAATTCACATCACGTGGCGTAGTATTCCTGTTGTACATTTCCATCCAGTTATCTGGTTTTAGCGAGCAGCGGAGTAATACAAACAGAACTCCCTGACAGAAACTCACGCCGCTTTATGCAAATCCCCAGCATGATCATGGCAGATATTCAGACTGAATGCACGCTATCCTAACCTAACAAGTTGGCTGAAACAACAGTTAGAAAAAAAGAGACTACTCAAAGAAATTGGGCGTACTTGTCGATGAAGATTGCTAAGTTCAACTTCGTCATAGTCCAGCAAGCCAAGCTGACCTGTAACAATTAGAGTCAGAGAAACAAAATAAAAAATTTGAAAAAAAACACTAGAATGTAAAAACATCGACATGTGTTGCCAATGGAACGGAGCATGAAATGCACACACCCCTACAAAGAATATGAAGAAGACAAAGTGCAGACAATACTTGAACTCAGAAAATAAATATGCGCCGAATATTTGTTGACTTACAGTAACTTATACCAGCACCCTATATTCACTAACCTATACCAGCACACTATATTCACTAACTAATTATACCAGCACACTATATTCACTAACCTATACCAGCACCCTATATTCACTAACCTATACCAGCACACTATATTCACTAACTTATACCAGCACACTATAAGTAAGTGCAGCGTCTGGTGACAGCGCCGGCAAGGAATCGTCCATTGTGAGCGCACGTGCACGCGGACAAGCGGTTGTAGACACGGGCTCAACGAGGACGTTGATCAGCCGTGCATTCGCGGACCACAGCAGCCTCACGTACGACGGCCCAGACACTCTCGAGACCAACCTTGTGGCTCTGGACGGCAATCGAATCGAAGTTCTGGGGCATCTAGAGGTCCTTCTAGAGCGAAACGACGGGCCTGTCAACCTTCCCAGAGTCAAGGTACGAGCGCTTGTAGTTGAAAGCCTAAGCACTGTCCGTGCTGACGTGCTGATTGGAGCGGATGTCGCTTCGCGCAGCGGTGGGTTGCAACTGAAGTATAGTAGTGATGGACAGCTTTGCGGAGTTGTGTTTGGAGCTGCAGCCAGCGACACTGTTGCAGCCACTGCCGATCGGCTGTCCCCGAAGGGGCAGGATGATGATGGTCGATCTGGCCATCCGTCGCGTCGGGTGAAAGTCAGCACCACTGACGAGGGCAAGGTTATGCTCAGTATTGCGGACGGCGACGTGACCTGGAGCCCTACTGAGAAGCAATGGGAGTTGACCTGGAAGTGGCTCGATGGTGAACCTCCTGCAATGCCGCTCGGCCCGGGTATCGGAGAGTACAGCAGGACGAACCTGACTCCGGAGCAAGAGCGCCTGTTTGTTAGTGAGGTGCAATCCTGGATAGACAACGGCTGGCTGATCAAGCACGACCCGAAGCTACATGGTGAGCCAGCATGTGTGCTGCCGCTCATCGGTGTTCCGCAAGAACACAAGACGACGCCGGTGAGGCCGTGCCTGGATTACCGTCACTTGAATAAAAAGCTCCACTCTGACCCTGGTTTTGACCCACCAGTCTGCGGTGACACGCTACGTCGATGGCGTCAGGCAGGAGAGGATTATGCTCTGCTCGACATTAGGAAGGCATACCTCCAGATCCGGGTTAGCCCGGCGCTGTACCGCTACCAAGTCGTGCTTTGGAAGGGAGAAGCTCACGTCATGACGAGAATGGGATTCGGGTCCTGGAGTTGATAACTACTATGACGACCTGCTGGTTCCTAGTGCCCTGGTGCCGAAGGTGTCTGGTGCACTGCATGAGTTCGGCCTACCAACCAAGCCCGCAGAGCAACTGGCAGAGGCTCAAGTCCTTGGCCTCCAGCTGACCAAGTCTTCTAGTGGTGACACGTCCTGGTCGCGAAAGGAGCCAGCTGCCATGACCTTGGAGCGTCCGGCAACTAGGAGGAGAATCTTCCAATGGTGTGGACGACTGACAAGCCACTACCCGGTATGCTCATGGCTGCGACCTGCCTGCAGTTTCTTGAAGAGAGCAGCTTCGGCGGACGATGCGTCCTGGGATGATCCAGTCCCACCGGCTATCCAGGTCTGCTGCGAGGAGCTTGAGAAGCGGCTAGCCGAAGTCGACCCAGCAAAGGGAACGTGGAGCATCTCTGCTGGCGACAGCAACACATGGACGGTGTGGTGTGATGTGTCCGCCTGGCCCTTGGTGCTGCCCTGGAGGTTGACGGCAAGGTGGTGGAGGATACCACGCAGCTACGACCACACCAGGACAAGAGGCACATCAATATTGCCGAATTGGAGGCGGCCATCCTGGGTCTCAATCTGGCTGCGAAGTGGAATGCGAAGCGGATTACGCTGAAGATTGATTCCAAGACCGTCTTCGGGTGGCTGAAGCAAGTGATCAACGACGTCCGACGAGTGAAGACCACTGGCTTGCATGACCTGTTGGTGCAGAGGCGCCTACACATTGTCAGCGATATGATTGACACGATTGGAGCAGCAGTGGATGTTGCTTGGATGTCGTCCGACTCCAACATTGCAGATACCCTGACCCGAGTTCCAAGCGTCTGGCTTACTCGATCCGTGGGTAGCATTCCCGACGTCACCGCCGGCGCTGTGTGCGAAACGACAGTTGTTGGCCCAATTTCGTTTGACGCTGTGGCGGCAGCCCAGCTGGAACACGAAGTGGTGCAGCGTGTCGCCAGCCAAGTGGCTACCCGATCAGCGGTTCGCGATGCTGGTTACAGGAGCATGGCAAGTCAGCTCGTCGTCGAGGATGGCGTCCTGCTCCGAAGCGTTAAGCTGCCTGTTGAGGGTGAAATCCTCGTTCCTGTCATCGCTAAATCCGCGGAAGAGTCTGTTATTAGCGCTGCCCACACCAACTCCGGCCATGCCTCATGGCAGAATATGTACGAGATGTTGCGTGAACGCTGCTACCTACCACGCATGGCCGAGAAATGCCAGCAACATGTCCGCAGCTGCCAGCGTTGCAAGGCTGCGAACGCCGCAGGAGGACAAGCGGCGCCAGCGACACGACCAGATATGCCCGGGAGACCGTGGGGCTGTGTTCAGATCGACACCTTGGAGCTTGGGGCGAGCAAGAGCGGGGAGATCCACTGCGTTTTGGTCTGCGTTGATGCCCTGACGAAGTACGCCGAAGTTGTCCCGTTGCGTCGGCACGATGGTGCGAGCGTGGCCGATGCCATTGTCGAGTTGTGCTGTAGATGGGGAACGCCAGATGTGATCCGGATGGACAATGGCCGGGAGTTCCGCAACTACATTGTCAAGGCCCTTCTGCGGGTGTTTGGTGTTGAGGTCAAGACAGGAGCTGTCAGGCACCCACAGACGCAAGGCATGGCTGAGCGTTTTAATCGCACGCTGCTCGGCCTCATAAGGAAGGTCCTGGAAGAATCAACGGATTGGCTCGCCGAGCTCCCGGTGCTGATACATTACTACAACAGCCGCATCCACAGCGCCATCGGCATTTCACCAATGAAAGCAATGATCGGGTGGCAGCCTCGAGCATTGGTGAGCGCCCGCATCAACCTATCCGATCCCAGAGCGTGGCAGGACGAGCATGCAGCGAGGTGTGCGAGAGTGCGCGACCTGCTTGATGCGGAGATGTCCGAGAAAGACCACTGTGAATCCGAGCATGAGTGCCCGTTCGCGCCTGATGATAGCGTCCTCCTCCAGCAGCCAAAGAGGCGCCAGAAGTGTACACCTCCATACCAATGTGGCTGGCGTATCAAGAAGGTCTTGTCAGGATCGACAGTAGTCATCTGGCGGAGGTTCAAGGGTGTTTTGCAGGAGAAGGTCATCAACATCGACCTGCTGAAGCGTGACGTGCCAGCTGCACCTTCCTCGGACCCAGCAGATGAGCCTCGCCATGATACAGAGGAGGAATCGGCTGGAGAAGAGAGTGATGACAGCGGGCCATACGTAGTGTTCTCGCCGAGTAGCGATACTCCAGACGAGCGAGTGTTGCGAGACAGGTCTGCCATTCGACCGCCTGCCCGCTTTCGCACGCAGTAATTGCATGGTCGGTAGTGAGTTTCTACATGCCACCAGGCGGAGGTGATGAAGGATAACTGCTGATCTTGCTTGCATGCATTGGTCTAATATTGATGACTGTGGTGTCATGTATTTAGAGTCTAGTGCACGGTATTGCTTTGTGGTACAAGTATTACATTGTTCATGATATTCGTTACAACAGTGTATGCTCTGCGTAGATAAGTAGATTGGGTTGCAAGGATAGCATGTTAGAAATAATTGATTGGAACATCCGGGCCGCTCAATTACGTTAAGAGCACACTCTCATCATTGTTAACTACACTGTTGATCATACGGGTCAGATCCTAGTGTTTACCTAGTCATGTAATTTCTCGTGCTGCTGTGTTCAGCTGGTTGGACTACTCTAATACCTTAATTACTAGCCTTCGATAGCACGTGCGAGTGCGGGCTTTTGCTGCGCAACTGGTATACCTCACAGTGTATTTAGAATAGTCTTCAATAATAATCTAGGTCAGTGAGTTTCACTACTTCCTAGAACTAGTACAAGAAACACCAGGTCCTGAGATTGTGCGGTGTGCGTGCGTGTACGTGCCGTAGAAGAGTCTGATGGTCTTTCCCCTTCAATATTCACTAACTTATACCAGCACACTATATTCACTAACCTATACCAGCACACTATATTCACTAACTAATTATACCAGCACACTATATTCACTAACCTATACCAGCACACTATATTCACTAACCTATACCAGCACACTATATTCACTAACCTATACCAGCTGCAGCCAAGTAGAGTGCAGAAGGACAGCCCAGACCACCACAGCCAACAATCAATACCGAGGATTGCTTCAAACCCAATTGCCCTGTACAGAAACAACAGCAAAAGTTAGCAATTACATTACAAGGAAAGCCTACAGTGCTCAGCACAACCTGTTACACATCCAAAGAACAAGTACATGCAAGTACATGTACTTTATAAGATTCCATGCCATTTCGGCACCCTCAAGTTCAGCGCCAATCAGGTGAACACGACCGTTTCAGCGCTGTGAACGTAAGCACCGGATTTTACAGTGCCGCATACTACAGCGCCAGTAGATAAGCGCCAAATATGTCAGCGCCAAATACATCAGCGCAACCTTTCTCAGCGCCACAGATCTCACCGCCATGTATCACGGCGCCAATATATTGATAACACAAACTAGTACAAGCACTATACATGTCCTGTACATCGTCTAGCGCCTGACTTCGCGCTGTACTTTACCGAACGGTTCATGTTCGCGCTGTACTTGATCGCGCTGAACTTCTTCGCGCTGTACTTCTTCGCGCTGTAATTTACCGCGCCTTACTTTTTCGCGCTGAGCTGCTGGCGCTGTATTTTACGGCGCTGATAGTCATGGCGCTGAAGAAGCTGGCGCTGTGAAATCAAGCGCTGAAATGCATCGCGCTGAAACGGTGGCGCTGAAGTGGCAAGTCACCCTATATAACAGCACCAGAACCTGTAGAAGCATCAACAGCACGACAAAAAGCACCAATGCAGTGGCAGTAGCAGCATCGACAGCAGCAACACAGATGATAGCACTCACCCTTGAGACCAATTTCCGGTAGAATAAGCTGTCGTCCATATCGAGATATTTCTTCTAAAGACAAACTGGCTGCGTACCCTTCAGCAGATATCCCACCGTGCGTTCTAACTTCAGAACTTGCAGAGACATGTTCTTCACCATGCAACTGCAGTCAAACACAACGAACACATACATTTACATTTGGTAACTCACATAATCTAATCAAAGTAATAATAATAGCGAGGCGGACATCATCAAACGTGATTATATGTATAGATTATAGACCGGTTAGGAGGTCTATACAGGATATATAGACCGAGTAAAAGACCGAGGTCCCCCGAGGTCTTTTACGAGGTCTCTATATCCTGTATAGACCAACTATGAGGTCTATAATCTATTTATCGTGTTCTCCACGCAATAGTTTCTCTTCATATACGACATCTCCTTGTAATTCTAGTATTATACTATAGCCTATACCGCATTGTACTGCATTGAAAGTCAAGATCATTGTTTAAACTAGGTTCAGCATCGGTAGCACAGTGGCTGGGTGGTAAGGAAGAGTGACTGAGATTCACAAGGTTGTGGGTTCAAATCCCATCTTGTGTATTTCTGCTTTCTTCAAAAATTTCTTTTTCTAAGTTGGAGAGAAAATTTCTAAGTCCAAGAAGTTCTAAGGAGTCAAATATAAGTAGTCAAATATATCGTGTATTTGACTAAGCAGTCAAATACGCGATATATTTGACCGCTTAGGTATCAGGGAAATTAGTGGGGTCAAATACTAAGAAGGCGATAAAGTATAATACATGTATTGTTCTGATCCCATGGGGAATTCGCAACTCGTGGCCTGTCAGCGGCATCACTGTGCGCCAATGAGACGTGGTCGCATGGGCCCTCGTTCCTAAAAAGATCAGCCAGCACCTGGCCCGAGAAGAAGGCGGTTGACCTTGTTCAGCTACCGGGTCAGTTGAAACCAAGGCCCAAGTCGACATTCGTTACAACCACAGGAAATGATGACACTTTGCAACCTGAGCGCTTTGACTCCTGGGAGTGTCTAGTGCGCGTGACTGCATGGTGCCGACGTTTCGTTCACAACTGCCAGCAGGTGGCCAGTGCCAGAGTAGCCAAGAAGGGGGACGCCACCCAACTAACGGCTTCACGCAGGACTCAGTCAGCCGGACCGAGCATTCCAGTCAGCCTTCCGGTTACGGCGCCGGTGCAACGAGATGGTTCACCACGAGCGGTTCTGGTGGAAAATATCAGCATCGAAGAACTCGCATCGTCAAAGCGGTTTTGGATCGCGGCAGCACAGAAGAGCAGTTACAGTTCGACGCTCAGTCATCTCCTGGCAAAGCAGCCTATTGCAGCATCAGATCCCCCCCCGCGGCATTGTCACCACAGCTTGATCGAACTACAGAGCCACCTGTCATTGTCGTAGGAGGACGCTTGTCATCAGCAGAGCATCTTCCCGCCACAGTCCGGCGCCCTCTAATCCTGCCGACCAAGCATTGGGTCACCCACTTGATTGCGAAGCGAGAGGATCGCCGGTGCAACCATGCCGCTGGACACCAGCATCCTCAGACTGACACTGTGGTATAGGATAGTGAACGGCGCCTCAGTGATCAAAGCTGTAATTCGCCAATGTGTCACCTGCAGGAAGAGTCGAGTTTCACCTGCACAGCAGGTGATGGGCCCACTACCTGATTACCGAGTCGCTTAGTCATTGCAACCCTTCAGCCGTGTCGCAGTAGATTACGCCAGGCCGTTCCACACCAAACAAGGTCGTGGGAAGGTGAGGGCCAAGCGATACCTATGCGTATTCACATGCCTTGAAACCCGTGCAAGTCACCTTGAGATAGCGCATGCACTGTCAACGGAGTCATTCCTCATGGCCTTACAATGGTTTGCCAAATGTCGGGGTACTCCAAGGTTGATTGTTAGTGACAATGGCACCAACTTCCGAGCAGCGGATCAAGAGTTGAAGGCAACAGTGGAAGGCCTGGACCGTCAGAAGGTAGCGCGACAAGTCGTCAGCGAAGGCATTGTGTGGAAGTTCAATCCACTTAGAGCACCCCACTTTGGAGGAGTTGTGGAGGCAGTCGTCAAGTCTGCCAAGCGTGCACTGGCTGCAGTATTGCAGCAAGCTGATGTCACTGACGAAGAGCTGCTGACACCCGCTTGCGCAGTGGAGGAGCTACTGAATACCAGGCCCCTAGGACTGATCAGTACCGGCCCTAGTGACTTGTCACCGCTGACGCCCATGCAATTCCTGGTAGGCCGCATGGATGCTCCGCTTCCACTGGAGATCACCGGCGATTCGCACACTCCAGTGGACCCGAGAAAGTGATGGTTGTATGTCCAGCGGTTGGTGGCAGACACCTGGAGAAGATGCCTTCTGGAGTTTGTGCCACTCCTCAACATCTGGCTCGAAGGACCACTACGTTCTGACCCCGTGGGGAATTCAATGCAGTCTACTCATCAGCCTCATGTACCTGCTGGGAAGTTATACCGGATAACCGGTTATCCAACCGCTAGAAATCAATGGCTATGAAACCGCTAAGTTTGCGGTTACAAACGGTTTTTCATGCACATGTATAAGACCACAGTGCATGGTCTATGGCACCAATGTTAGCGCCATAATGCAGGATAGCATATCACTCTCAACAGTTGGCACATGTTTACATTGAAGACTAAAATTTCTTTTCACTCATCGGCAGGAGCTTTGGATTCGGAGAAGGATGTAGCGAAGGCCACAGTCATGTTGTTGATCCAGCGGGAAAGAAATTCTAGGATTTTGGCTCGGCTCTGAAAATGAAACCGTCTTCAACGCCGTAATTCAGCTTGACGCTGAGGAAGCCTCGTTTTGATGTCAATGTATAGGTCTCAATTGTGTTAAATGAAAATGGTGTGTGGGGCGATAGCTCATGTTTGTGTAGCACTCCTGCCTGACACTAATATCAGCGGTAACTCAGCCCAAGTGCTAGCAAGCCTTCCCAGTCAGCAGGGAGTGGGACCCAGGTGAGACGCTTACTGAAGCCTAAGAAAGCTAAGCCAAGAAAGTCCAAGCTGGAGACAGTGCCAGAGGCTCCTGTACCATCAACTTTAAGTGCCAGTGCAGCACCATTCCAGCCAGCACCACGTGCCCCTTCTCAGTGGAGCACAAACCCACTTGTCACCTTCCCTGTCCATCGTGTGAAGCCACTGGAGCAACCGACGTTTTCAGGGCAAGACAAGGATTACGTTAGATGGCGACAGCACTTCCATCGTATTGTTGACGACGATCCTCACACCACAGAGGTGTACAAGCCAGCTCAGCTCAGGCAATGTTTGTCAGGAGGGCAGGCCGAGGAGCTTGTGGAGGGAGTCTCAGATAGACCAAGAGCCCACAGAGCTGTGCTTGACGAGCTGGATGCCTGGTATGGCGGAGATGACCGCATCCTAGAGCAGCAAGAAAGAGCTGCTGCAGTGGCCTGGAATAAAGGACGCAGATGGTGTGGCCAAGTTTGCAGTGAAGCTCCGTACGACACTGGTGAACATAGCTGTCTGCGGAGTAGAGCCTGGTCGTGAGCTCTATTTGGTCGTGCCGCAAAAGGTCCCGGAACCGGTGCTAGTGGACTACTTCAAGAAACACGACGACCGGAAAAGTGAACATTGAATTCCCCACGGGGTCAGAACATGTATAATGAATCTAAAGTTTCCAACCATCCTGTATGGATTCACAGGAGGTGTGAGTTTCGAAATCCGAGGGCAAGGCTGAACGGTCGCTACTGGGATGACGATGACACCATAGGCATAGGTTAGTGGCAGAGCATCGCTGGCCATAAGCAAAGGTCCCTGGTTCGAGTCTTGGTGGTGACAGTCAATTTTATTCTTCAGACTTTTTCCGTTCTCAACGCCCTCAAACTTATGAATACCGGTAATCTAAATTTACCTAATCGATTTTCATGAGACACTCATCAGGGAAGGCTGTCTCAACAATATAAGCAGTACCTACAGGTAGGGAAACAATCATACCAGTATACTTACTTCGAAGTATGTCTAAGGGTAGGGAGTAGTACAGAGGTGCTGTGTGAAAAAGAGAAAAAGAACTGTGAGTGTTTTAAATAGGTGTGAACTAATACCGGTGACAGCGATGGGTGAAAGGAAAAAATGGAAAAGGGGTGAGAAAAAAAAAGAAGAGAAAAAAGGGGTGAATAAGAGGTACACTGTGACAGAGCGAGAGAATTTAGTTACGTTCAATGTCCGCCTCACTAGCACTGTTCATTGCTGCATAAACTCTTGTTTCCGCATTGCTTATTCATGTAATGACAAGCGGTGTTTGCGGTTGGAGATCTCAATCTTTCCCACAAATATTGATACTTGAAAACAAGTACCATAACAGGCATGATATCCCTCTGTGTGTGTGTGTATGTATGTATGTATGTATGTATGTGTGTGTGTGGTGGTGGTGGTGGTGGTGGTGGTGGTGGTGGTGGTGTGTGTGTGTGTGTGTGTGTGTGTGTGTGTGTGTGTGTGTGTGTGTGTGTGTGTGGGTGTGTGCATGTGTGTGCACATCCCCAGGATCATGCCAGACACAAGTGCACGGCAGACGGAGCTAAGCCAGTACATGAACGGCGTGGAGCATGCCGATGTGATGGCTGTGGCCACTGGCTGCTTAGCTGTGGCAATCTGCCGGGCCCGTCACAAGGGTGCGTCCCTGTGCCCCGACCACAGCGGAACCTTGCTGTGGTGCACACTGTGCATCCTATGACCGCTACTTTTGTTCGGTCCAGGTCAGTAATAGACACTGCTGCTCCAGCTCACCCGACCATACGACGGTATCGTGGTTACAACTGCAAATGACCCTACTCCATAAAAACTCTCGTTTTTGTGTCAAGGGCGTCATAGGACGACATTATCCAATTCTCTCTCCTCCTGGGCGCACGTGACCCTTGTGGCAGTGGCTCGACAACTACGACGACAAGACAGGACAGGTGTGAGTGTATGCGTGTGCGTATACACATGCATGTACATGTGTATTCTGATGAATGCACATAATCACTCAATAAGTGTCAAGTGAAATTCCATGTAAATGTGATTACATATACAGTATAGCTTTTGAGTTTTGACAGCAAATTCAATGAAGATGCACATTTATCTTACTTTCTCATGCAATTGCAGCCTCAGCTTTCTGAGCTCTTCTTCAGCGCAGGAGATTTTCTGCCTCAGATCAGCAATATCGTTTGACTCCATGATGACTCAATTTCTTCAACTATGCAGGTACAAGTAGGTATTGGGAAGACTCACGACTGGTAGAAAATCTTAGCAGATGCACACCGCTCGTGCGTTGGAGTAGCTAAACTGCCAATGATAACACAGATAAAACTACAACTTGCCTACGATCAGGATAAACTGCAACAATATCTTGCACTTCTTTGAAATCAATCCATACAGTGCATGGCCGACTTCTTCATTATTTTTTTCAGCTTGCTTTGCATTTTATTTGGGTTCAAATTTTTAGAGGGGCTCACGTGCACGGTCGTCATGATGGGGCTGTTAAGTGATGACGTCACAGTTCCTTCGATACGCATAACAACGATCCCACTGGGGACAAACAAAAGTAGCGTCGTCTCCACCGACCCAGTTGTCAGTGGCAACATATAGGAATCGTGTACATTTCTTCGTTTCTTCTTTGCTGTTTTCAGTGAGTGTTTTGTTTTCTCTTTGTCCTTGATCTCGACGATGTTGTCGTGCTCATTACCTTACTGAGACGTCTCTTGTGACTGTAGCCAGTATCACGGAGGATTTTATTGGCGTGACAAGGTAGATCGCCGAGATCGAGCGTGAAAAACGCTCTGCATTAGTAGCTCCTGTAGAATGTTTTCTGGGTTGGCGTATCCATGGTCAACAAAACCAAGGTGCAAGACAGCATGAGAGATCGTGTAAACGATGTGAACTCCAAAAGGTAAGCTCCTGAACAAGTGTAAAGATATGGGTATTTACAAACTCTCTTTTCATCCATCGATTGCCGCTATGCATTGCATTTTGTCTTCACAGATAATCTGGCCAAATTTATTGTAACTAGAGAGTGCAATCGTGCACTGCTTGGGGCCCATCCCAATGTCATCACATGGCTGTGGTGACTAGTGTATATCTGGGAGAATTTTTCCTCGACTGGTACGGAGTGCAGGTGGATCGATTATGAGAAATGCGAACATGTGAAGTAAGTAATTAGTTGTGTCGAAGAAATGTGCAATAAAATAAAATTTACTTTACACTCAAACATACACTGTAGATGTACATGTAACATCATGATAATGATTCTATCTTCATTGTCCCGCAACTGGTACACCATACGCACCGAATACATGGTGTGTGTGTGTGCGCGCGCGCAAGCGCGCGCATGTACATGCACACACTCTCATGCGTGGCCGAGTCGGCCAGATGAACAGACCATGCATTTACACGAGGTGCCCGTAATGTCATTGGAACGCTGTACTTTATGACTTTATTCCAAAAGAGTATGCCTTGCCCCTGACGAATGGAGTTGTGTCTGTGCTCAGCTGGTATCGGGCTATGACGCAACACTGCAATCAGCGCTGCAATTAAAAGAGCACTGCATGGATTATTTTGACTAACTTCCTTTGCGTTTACTTGGTTGAGCCCGTGGTTTCATTTCTGTGTTCTGTCATGATTGGCCTCTGGAAATAATCAGAGTGGATGTCATTTTGCCATTATATGTGTGCCTTGTGCGACAGGTTCAAGGCTAGATGCACTTCACATTCGGCGTGCGGTCTCAGCGTCTGGGACCTGATGAAGTCTTGGTTGGATGATTATTCAAGCCTGACACTACTCGACACACCAATGTTCATGTCAATGTAATTTTTTCAGAGCTGCACTATTTACGTGTTGATGCTTACTTCGGTGTTAGCGTGTTTCCCCCGGATTGTTTCTATCATCATGATCGTGTGTTCTTGGGCTGAGCGAGCACATGCACAAGTGTGCAGCTATAACCCTGTGTATCTTTGGTTACACTTTGTTCTGCAATGCATGTACCTTGTAACATTATGTGCTTGCACTGCTTTGTCTGGCCTGCGTATTTCAGGACTATTCAGTGCATTAGACCCAGGTTTGTTCGGTTGCCGGATGATCTCTTGTTGCGTCGCTCTGTATTTGTATTCATCAATTTTTGGGCTTGAGAATTGAGCTGTTGTGTGGTTCCCTATATGAAAACATCATGCTGGTGCTCTGTGTTTCGATTATCGACTGTCGGAGCAGTCATGCATTTATTAGCAGAACGGTCAATACTGTAGTCTTTTCACGTGTTTGTCTTTGTGTTTTCGCCGGGGGTATTAGCGGTAACACTGCACACAGAACGGCAGTGTTGCATCACTGGACGACCCTGCCTCTGCATCTGACTTAATTTCCCCAGGATCTGGTGCAGTTACACCAGACAGCCACTTCCTGTAAACACGCAAACAGCAAAAGAAGAGATCCCGCAAATCAGGAAAAACCATTATGGAAAATATAGAGTAGATCATACAACATTCAATAATCTGGAGTAATTACAGTGAGACAAACACTTCAAACAGTGCTCTCTCTCTCTCTCTCTGTCTCCATCCTTCCAAAAATACCCTATGACAATTCCCTAGAATTATTTTATTTTATATTCTTAGGACATCATTCTGAACATAATAAATTCTTCCATGGGTCTTAGATCACCACGGAGGGCGAAAATATATCTAAGTCATGCAGTTTACGGGAGGTGCGAGCTGTCATGGATATAGAGGCTGATATTGTGCCAGCGTGAGGGCAGAGACAGAAAGAAGACACTGATTTCTTGAACAACTCACCGATATATAATTGAATACACAAGGAGCGCTCATAATTTGATCCATCAGGACGCGAAACATCTTCAAAGCACTCTCAAACACGGAGTTTTACTGTGGGCAGCCAATTTCACAGCCATCATGAAGGCACTCGACGACTACAGGAGTTTTGTAGAGGAAAGAACAAGGAGTAAAGAGCGACAACAATCGCTTGAAGAAAAAGCAAAGAAAAACAACTGTCTCTCCAGTCATTTTAGATGCTGTTGCCCTTGACATCTGGTTCCATCCAGAGGACGCGACTTTTGTTTGGCGAAAGGCTAAAGGGACAAGCCCAACTATTTTTGCGGATTTTCTGTCATAAAAAATAAACGTCACAGGCTGCTCTTCGTAGGTGTCCGCGTCCCAGCGGTCCGGGCAAGCGACCGCACCTCAGTGGGACACTTGGCCGTGGCTTTTGTACTGCAATCTGTGGGAGAGCCTTTCCAGGGGTAGTACACACCTGGCCTGGGTACCAGGTATGGACGAATCCCTGGTACATGGTGTTGATCCTTTTTTGTTCCTTTCCTTTTTATTTGTTTTTGCTGAGAAAGAAACGTTGCTGTTTCTGTTCCCGCCAGCGCCTTTGCTCTAGTAAAACATTGCTGGCTGATAAATGGTCATTGCTCGTGATGCCAAAGGTGAAGGGAATCTGGGTTTCTTGCCATTTGCAACTCCCTGTCTCTGAAAATGTAGCTTGTAGCTCCGAGTATGTTAGTTTTTCGACGTGCCAGACCTATTGGTATGAGCTGCAGAGATGAGGAGCAACGAAGGCGTTGGATTAATGCGTTGGATTGATGCCAATAATGGTGTTTATGGCCGGACAACGCCAGCGGTTTTCACTTGTCAGGAGGACAGTCAAGTTGGAGCAGGCAGATGACGGATTATTAATTTTGGCGCATTTTTTTGCAGAGTGGGTGGCTTGCCGAAGAGAATCATCTCAGTACCTCATGGTTACTAGTATCTGACAAATGCCTCTTATTGCTAGTCTGCATTAGAGCATAGCAGAATTGGTCATGTCACAAGTACTAGTAGTGTCAAGACTTGATGTGCTACGATTGTACTCAGATCATGTGGCAACTTCACAGTAATTCGTCCTGCCACTTTACGCTCTCCCGGAATTCCCTGCAGAAGTCACGTGCCTGTGCAGGGGACAACGTGTTTGCATTGCTTACTGATGCAAGCGGATGGAGTGCAGAGCAGATAAGAAGACATAATCTGGCTATTCATATAGCTTCGGCTGCTATTAATTGGCTGGACTCCTGGAAACGTGGGCAAGAATCTAAACCAGTCCACGGAAACGATGTGACGCCACACAGGAAGCTAAATGGCAAACCAATCAAGTTCTTTGGTAATGAAACCTTTCACCAACGTTGTCCGGTTTCATGCCTAGTGTCACTCACACAAGACCAATGGATGCCACATGTACCTAAAAGATACGCTGTTGATCAACCACAACTCCAATACCACTGAGCAGCGTCTTCTATACAGATCCAATTAGATATTGAAGTATATGAGTCGAAGTTGCTGGTATAGTCTCTCCTAATGACCGCGTATTTGGCATAATTTTCTCTATACTGCACTCTAGAGCTACTTACCTTTTCCGACATTGAACTCAGGCAGTGACCACTCGCCCACAGAATGAGCCAATTGACACAGACACCAAGTACCATGTGCATTCGTCGCAAGAGAGACACGCAAGTTTGCAAGTGCAGTGGATGTACACCCACTGATTTTCTCTTATGCCAACGATATCAGACATGACCTGAGTGAAACATATCAAGACTAGCACAGCATTACTGCCCAATTCCGTAATTATAATTATTGCGATGCCTTGTGAAAGGATTCTCAATGCACACCTGGTCTACGCCACACGGAATACATCGGATGATAATGACCAAGACAGCTGCCTATGTCTTTCTCTTTCCTCTCTCTCTCTCTCTCTCTCTCTCTCTCTCTCTCTCTCTCTCTCTCTCTCTCTCTATCTTCATCTATATCTATCTATCTATCCAATCTGGGGACAGAACTGTTTCGTCCTTTGTGGACTCATTAGCACAGCACAGAGAAATGAGGCCGAACCTGATTGCAATGAAAAATAAATTCCAAAGCCATATTTAAACCAGGGCCGAATATACTGTGCCAAAAATATCTCTCTATCTATCTCTATCTCTTTATCTCCTTGAGGGCACACTGGGTCCCCTGTTTTCGCAATTCTCCACCTATCAACTCCCTTCTGTGTTTGTGTGTGTGTGTGCGTGCACGGGTGCAGGGTATATGCGCACATATCTTTCCTTCTCTTCCTGTCTTTACCTGGTTTGTGAATCGGCTTTTTAATCATATTTTTTTCGGCTCACTGTTTTATGAGTTCACCTCATTATTGCACACAGGCAAGCAGTCAGGCAGCATTACAACAAATCAGCTTTGCTTCACTCCTGTACAGTAGTGTCTACTACACTCTGCTTTCGCCGCATTCGACAACTCTCAGCACTCTAGATCTGTGTGCATTATGCTGCTACCTACTTGTATTATACTACTTCAGTATTAGAAATCCAACGAACGAAATCTCTCGTATCTGTGTGTCTCCACATGTTTCTCTGTCTGTCTGTCTCTCTATTCTATTAATATATCTATCTGTCTGCCTCTCTCTCTCTCTCTGTGTCTATGTGTCTCTGTCTGTGTCTTGGTTTTTCTGTATGCCTGTCTTTGTCATTCTCTAGCTGTCTGCCTATCTCGTTCTGTCCGTGTGCCTGTCCCTATCTGTCTGTCTGTCCATCTGTCTGTCTGTCTGTCTTCCTTTCTGTTTCTCTGTCTCCATCTGTCTGTCTCTGTTTTTCTGTCTGCTTCTCTTCTTCAGTCTTTCTCTGTGTGTCTCTCTTTGTCCCTCACTCGGTCACTGTTCTCTGTCTCTTTCTTTCTCAGTTTTCTCTCTCTGTTTCTGTGTGTGTGTGTGCGTGTGCGCGTGTCTCTCTCTCTCTTCTCTTCTTCTCTCTCCCCCCCCCCCCTCTCTCTCTCTCTCTGTGTTTCTCTGAATCTTCGTCACGGCCTTTCTGTCTGCCTATCTGTGTTTGTCTGTGTAACTCTCCAGCTGTCTCCCTGTTTATGCGCAGCATCCCTCCGTTTCTGTCTTTCTGTGTCTGTCTGTCTGTCTCTATCTCTCTACCAGCCGCTGTTCTACACATAATGAAATTGTGTGGCACCGCGCACGTGGCTATGCGTGGGACATTCACACGCACACACACACACACACATCCGTACGCTCGATCATACAAGTACATGTAGTAGTGAAGAATTCACCTCAGACACATTATTAAAACGTATCTCTCTTTCTCTCTCTCTCTCTCTCTCTCTCTCTCTCTCTCTCTCTCTCTCTATGCCTGCCACTGTGCTGCATATACAGTTAGTGAAATTGAATGGCACAGAACACGTACATGACTGTATATTTACGCACACATGGGGCATTCACGGATGCACCCACACACACCATGTATACGCCCGTCGCAAGAGAAGCACCAAATCTGCAAATGCACACCCACACACACACACTTGTACGCTCGATCATACAAGTACACACACACACACACTCATACGCTCGATCATACAAGTACAATGTAGATTATGTAGTAGTGAAGAATTCACATCAGAGACATTAAAACGTCTCTCTCCCTCTCGCTCTCTCTCTCTATGCCTGCCACTGTGCTGCATAATATTATACAGATAGCGAAATTGGTGTGGCATATAACATATACATGACTGTATATTTACCCACGGGCCAAGCGTGGGACATTCACGGATGCACACACACACACACACACCACACCACACACATGGCCTGCAGCAAATAACATTTCATAGCTACAAGACCTTCAAAGAAAGTCATGGTGTCAAGAAGATAGACACGTACAAGGATAATTGTAAAGTATAAATTATATTATACATGTACATGTAGCAGGGATATTCTCAGAGAGTCAAACTACCGGATGAAATGGCAAACGAAAGTCTCAACTTCAGAGAGTAGAGTAGAGAGTAGAGTGGGTGGGTGTGCAGACCAGCGAAGGTCATAACAAATTGATAATAACGTGTAACCAATGCCGGCAATGGATAATGTGTGAGCGACCAAAGAGGCGTACATAGCATTACCTGTACCACCATAAACACACCTTGACCTTGCCCATTGCGTAGCAATGATACCGCATTGTTATTTCTCCAGTCCACGACAGAATGACTGATGGCGTTTCAGGTCGCCGCTTCGACGGAACATGCGGCCGCAGGCGCAACCGTAGCCAGCAGCAGAGGGTGCCTTGTGTGGTCGATGGGCAATGGCACGCCACTCCGGATGGTTCTGGGCTGCATCGTACCATCCACATGTTGGTACCGGTGGCTCAACCGGCTCAAAGTCATGCATAACAACGTCCCTCCACCTCTTGCGTGGATCACGCGCGGGGCGCGGGGCAGGCAGTTCACCGAAGAGAACACACTTCGGCAACCGGTGATCTTCCCTCCGTGCCACGTGTCCAAGCCAGCGCAAACGTCATTCCCGTATGATGTGACCAATGTCCTCAGGCACTCCAAGGGCCTTTGCAAGGGCTGAGGACGTTGCGTGGGTCTCCCATTGCTGCCGTCGCGACACTCCAACGATAGATCTGACACATTGATGGTGGAAAAGGTTGAGGTGTCGTAGGTCCGGAGCCTTCGTTGTCCAGGTTGAGGCGCCGTACAGGAGGGTAGAGAGCACCACGGCAACATACACGCGACGACGACACTGCAAACTCAGTGACCGGTTCTCGGATACGGCTTGCTTCAATTGCAAGGAACTAAATACGGCAAGCAAATCGAGGGACATTAGGTGCAAACCTCGTTGTTCTAGTTGTCTAGACTGCACGGGGTCTTGAAAATACTGAGCCTCCACGTTGTATCTGTGTGGCATGTGGCATCCGTTGATCTCGTTTGAGTAGTAGTAGGCATGCACTGCATTATGTTTTGATGAAAGGTTCGATAGCTGATGAATGGGTTTATCATTTGGCTTCCTGTGTGGGTATTGCTTCTGTGGATTGGTTTGGAGCAATGTTCAGATAGTCCAGGCATCAGGCAAATTTATAATGGCGGTCCAAGCTAGTTGAATATCCGGATCACTTTTTCTCATCTGGTCTACACTCCATCCGCTTGCATCCGTAAGCAATGCAAACGCATTGTCCCTTGCACAGGCACGTGACTCCTGCAGGCAATTTTGGGAGAGCGTAAAGTGGCAGGACGGATATTCCCGTGAAGTTACAACATGATCTGAGTATAATCGTAGGCCATCAAGTCTTGACACTACTTGTGACATGATCAATTCTGCTATGCTCAATAATGCAGACTAGCAATAAGAGGCATTTGTCAGATACTAGTAACCATGAGGTACTGAGACGATTCTCTTTAGCAAACCACCCACTCCGCTATAAATGCTCAAATAATCTGTCATCTGCCTGCTCCAACTTGACAAGTGAAAATCGCTGGCGTTGTCTGGGCCATAAAACCATTATTGGCATTAGTCCAACGCCTCCCTTGCTCCTCATCTCTGCATCTCGTAACGATAGGTCTGGCACATCGAAATCTAAAACTAAAATACTTGGAGCTCTTATTTGTTCAAGCTATATTTTCAGAGCCAGGAAGTTGCAAATGGCAAGAAACCCAGCTTCTCTTCACCATTGGTATCACGAGCTATGATCATTATCAGTGAGCAACGTTACTAGAGGAAAGTCGCTGGAGTGAACAGAAAGCTTTCCAAGCAGCAACGTTTCTTTCTCAGCAAGAACAAATAAAAATGAAAGAAGCAACACCAAGGATTTGTCTATCCCGGTATAGGTACCCGGGTGTGTGTAGCCTCTGGCATGGCAAGGTTCTGCCACAGATTTCCAGTACAACGGCCACGGACAAGTGTCCCACTGAGATGCGGTCGCTCGCCCGGACCGCTCCGACGCGGACACCTGCGAAGAGCAGCCTGTGACGTTTATTTTTTTATGACAGAAAACTGCAAAAATAGTTGGGCTTGTCCCTTTAGTCCTACCCAGGGAGTCGTAAAAGCCCGGGAGAGGACACGGGATGCGCGCACGCGGACGATGTTTGCCTCGGCCAGAAAGTGAAGCACGCTAGGCCGGCGCGGCCGGATCTGCTCGATCCACGGCGCTGTGCTTGTCTTCAGGGCAGGGAGTCCTAAAATACCAATATTTTACAACTCGTTGTTGACACCATTATCCGAAACTGGTGGCGAAGGAAGGATAAACATGATTGTATGTCTGTCAGACTCAGTACAGGGGTGGGGAGTTGAGTGTGTGTGTGTGGGGGGGGGGGGGGGGGGGGGGGAGGCGTGTGTATGTGCACATGTGCTTGTACTTTTGTGTGTGTTTGTACAGTGTTTGTGTGTGTGCTTGTGTGTGTGCGCGCGAACGTGTGTGTGCATTTTTGTGCACAATTCCGTTATGAAGTACAAATGATAGGTTTACCTTTTGTACACTCGCCAAGACTTCCGTTTCCTAAACGGCTCAAGTCACCGCGTACTCAGTATACGAGTAGAAAAGTGTTGAAATTATCAAGATTTATAAATAACGACCTGCAACCATGTACAATGTAGATAGATAGGGAACACACATTGATTGTTTTTAAAAGAATCCAGGCATTATCATGAATCATGGAACGAGTGCGTAATAATGCTCTATGTTGCGTTTTGACGATGCTGAAGGAAGGGAGCCGTCGCGATTTACTCACAACACACGCACAGAAGTCCACTCGACTGCAATTTCTGACACAAATTCATAAATCCACGAGTACGCCGAGGAAGCTCAGCGGATCTCCACAAGAACTTTCGCCCATCACCTGCAATGGAATATGGGCTGTATGATACGACCAGTGGTTAACACGGGAAGTGGCGTCATTTTCCACAAATCTCGTTTCATTCACAACCATTTGACTGCAATTCAGTGCAATTTCTGCCACAAATTCAACTCCACGAGTACGAGGAAACTCAGCGGATCTCAACACGAACGTTGGCCCATCACCTGCAATGGAATATGGGCTGTATGCTACGACCAGCGGCTAACACGGGAAGTGGCGTCATTTTCCACAAATCTCGTTTCATTCACAACCATTTGACTGCAATTCAGTGCAATTTCTGCCACAAATTCAACTCCACGAGTACGAGGAAACTCAGCGGATCTCAACACGAACGTTGGCCCATCACCTGCAATGGAATATGGGCTGTATGCTACGACCAGCGGCTAACACGGGAAGTGGCGTCATTTTCCACAAATCTCGTTTCATTCACAACCATTTGACTGCAATTCAGTGCAATTTCTGCCACAAATTCAACTCCACGAGTACGAGGAAACTCAGCGGATCTCAACACGAACGTTGGCCCATCACCTGCAATGGAATATGGGCTGTATGATACGACCAGCGGCTAACACGGGAAGTGGCGTCATTTTCCACAAATCTCATTTCGTTCACCCCAACTCAAATAAAAGTGAAGTACAATTAGGGATTTGACTTGCATTTCCATCGCCTCAGAATAAATTAACTTCGATAAACTGAGAGAGAATGAGTGAGGCAGCTGGAAGATGAGGATGAAAATAGAGATCAGAAGACTCGACGGAGCAATCGTCTCCGTGCTCTAAGAGAAATCGGAGAATGTCCCAATTAGTATTTCAAGAAGACATCACAATTTTCGAAAATAATAATTTCCTTGCCTCGCAACACCGTTCCCGGGGGGATCCCTGGCAGCGTTCCCCGGCAGCGCGAGGCAAAGATGTTTTCTGGGAATGTGTGCCGTGTCCTCTCCCGGGCTTTTACGACTCCCTGGTCCTACCCTTTTGTTTGTCCCCATTGCTCTCCGTTGCTATGCGTATCGAAGGAGCCGTGACGTCACACTTAACAGCCCCATTATCCCACGTGCGTGATCTGTGATCAGTGACGTGACATGACCCTGATGACATCGCGATATCGATATCGACACAGTATAGTACAGCAAAACAAACAAAAGTGCAGTGAATCAGTCCTTTCGAAGTTTGTTTGCTTTTCGAATTTTCATGCAATTAATTTATTACGTTTCTATCCCAGGGAAGTAACATGTCTGTTGCAAGGTTTTACCGCGAGGCTGGTCAGGTTATAGACAGTGCTTTGGCCAAGGAAGGCTCCGTGAAGAATCTTTGCCTTTCATCAAAATGCAGAAGAAAGAAAAAGCTTTACGCGATCGTTCATCAAACTCTAACACGTAAGTGTAATTTTTATGAAAAATGATACAGTAGTCGTTGTCAACAGTTCTGCAGTGATACTTCAAGCAGAACTGTGGTCTGTACCCAATGCACACTGAGAGTAATACTTGAAGTAGATGGAACCTGCCCACTCTCATGATTTTCATCAAAGAACGAATTTCCGTGAAGTCACAATAGGTTTACCGTAATTCCGCGCATATAAGCCCATGGGCTTATATACGAAATAATGCAGTTTGGGGATAAAATATCCAGTAAAACGTATTCGATTTTTAGCCCATAGGCCAATATTCGAATTTTGAAGGTTCACGAAAAGGTACAAGTCCGTGCTCATAGCGCGTCTACCGTACTCTACTGGTAAACTGCACTGACCTGCTGTACCATGTTAAGAAGAGTCCATTTTGTGAAAAACTCTACTTGACACGTGAGTTGCATTTGTGTCTGTTTATTAGCCCATGGGCTTATAAACGGAGGTGGGCTTATATCCGGATATAGGCCCATGGGCTTATATGCGCGGAATTACGGTATGGAAAGACATCAAGCTGCTTTTGAATTAACCTTTTACCATTCTAGAGACCGTAGTGTAGTAGACGGACTAACAACCGTTGGCATACCTTCAGGACCTAGTCTATGCCACTTCATCGTAGGCCTGCTTTCGTCAGAGAGTATGCCAGGGTCAAATGGCCTTGGTGCAAAAAGCCTGCATCCCGGTGATAACGTCGTAGAAACTCGCCGGAGGTTCACACAATACCGTTGCAGTGTCGAAAATGGCTGATTTAGGACCCCGCTCGATTGGGGAACAGCATGCCACAGTTTCTGGGACCTAGACCATTCAATTCAGTGACGTGGAGACTGCATCTTCGCCGAAAATTCGAAAATTTTCAGTTCTGTGACTTTCACCTACTTGGTATGCATGCCCGCGCACACCATCAGCTCAAATGACTATTTTCCTCTACATGCAGGTGGTGTGCAGGACACTCAAATATCTCAGCAGATCAATGTACTGTAAATATACAAATTTTCGGCAGGTATTTAATTTCAGCTATATTCGGCACGGACCCAAAACGCCTAAATTAGAACGCCGATGAAATTTTTCACAGCATCTGTAGCACTATACCATGCCCTCTACCCCACGCCGAAAATAAATCGCCGCCGAAATGTCAAAAATCGTGAAGTGCCGAAATTTTGCAGCGCCGAAATTTTGTATATTTACAGTAATTGCTAGCTCTACCTACAGTTCTGTTTTCTGGAATTTGAGTAAAGATTCAGAGTGTGTAGTTCTGGGGGTACTCAGGTGAATGATCTAGGTCTGCTATTTGGACGGGCTCCGGAACCGGCCACTTTGAACCCGGAATGTGTGTGTTTGTGTATGTGTGTGGTGTGTGTGGTGTGTGTATGCATGTGTGCATGTGTGTCATTGTGTGTGTGTGTGTGTGTGTGTGTGTGTGTGTGTGTGTGTGTGTGTGTGTGTGTGTGTGTGTGCATGCATGCGTGTGTATGTGTGTCGATATTTGGGCAGTCTCAGTGACGCCATCACGATGTACGGCACACTGTGTGTGCGGATTTGATTGTAGTTTTGGTGTCCATGCTACTGTGTGTTCGCATCAGATCGCCGAGAAATAGAAGCCGTGCTGGAGGAAGCAAGCTGGACTAAGTTGGAACCAGATGTAAGAATATAGTGTATCACGTGGTCAAGTTAGCCCCAACACTTTGTCTTGATTGCCCAAGATCTGGGTGCATGTACCCAACCAGGGCAAAATCCATATCCAGTATCCATTCCGGGTCAAGCTACAGTAAAACCTGTGACTAACGACCACCCCTTGGGGCCACCGAAAGCGGTCTTTAGTGGCAGGTGGTCCTTAGAGGTTTGCACTGCACAACCATGAATGTGAGACCGTTCGTACCCCCGAGTGAAGTGGTCTGTACTACCAGGTTGGTCGCTAGTCACGGTGGTCTTTAGTTAAAGGTTTTACTGTGGTTTGAGAATGTGCACACTTCTTTAAAATTGTTCATCCTTTAAAAAGTGTTGCGACTTCAGTCTAGATTATCCAAACTTGGGCGCTTTGGAAATAGTCGGAGCAGTACTGTCATGGAGAAAGGGAGGCAGGCATTGTCATGATTGATTGTCGTGTTTGAAAATCAACTCTCTTACATGACCTGGCGATGTGAATGTGCACAGAATTCTGTAAGCAGATGCCGATAAGTTTGAGCTGAAATGTGTTTGTGTAGCTTAGTTCACACTCAACAGGACGGGACGTCATGCGATGTAAGGAGCGACGAGAACCCACCAGGATACATCTGACGGAGTCAAATCTGAACCCCAGGAACAGGAACATAACTGTACTACTGTACTACTACTGTACTGTACTACTACTGTACTACTGTACTACTGTACTACTGTACTACTACTGTACTGTACTACTACTGTACTACTACTGTACTACTGCAGGGACTAATTTACTTCAAAAAAATTGCATAGCAATAATTGCTACACACCTCGACGTTTGAATAGCAACGCTACAATTTTGCATAGCAGTTTTTTTCTGTCGACAATGCAGTCTTCAGTGCACTTCCACTTATACCGTCAACAAACGCCGTGCTGTTATTCCTCAAACCACGAAGCGAGGACGCCTTCTCCCTGCACATTTTGCAAAATATCTTGGTCATAGCTCCACCACTCGACTCTGCGCGAATCCATTCTTTTTCGGGATCAAATTCAGCAATCCACTTGTCCACAGTACCTTGCTTCACAGACATGCCGGCAGTGAAGAGGCTTCATCAATAAGGCTAGCAGAATTTTACAAAGATAAGTCCTGAACGGTCGAGACGCCTACTGCTAGTGAAGCAACGCGGTCTAAATCTCAAAAGCAGGTGAAGTACTTGTCGACACTCGCCTCGTGCTTCCGTTCAAGTAAGTAACTAGTTAGTTAGTTTCCAAGTGCACGTGCTGCGGTGCGCGTGCGGAGATCGTGTGACATATGGCCATGGTCCCGCGGCCCGCGCGTGCGTAGATCTATGGTGTAAAATCTACCTGCAGTGCAGGCTGGACAACCACACACACACACAGTCACAGTGCATGCCACGCCATCTCGTGGCGCCAAACCAGCCACACACACTGTAAAGCTACACATGTGCATGCGCTACGCGTGCACTACAAGTCTATGTCCAGGGCCATACTTAGCTAACAAGTAACATGTATGTTGTGTCGCAGTTTACCGCGACTCACTACGAACTTCGAATCGCAGACACAGTGTTTTGCGTCGCAAACTGCGATGCGATACCGGTTAAATTAGTCCCTGTACTGTACTACTACTGTACTACTACTGTACTACTACTGTATAACTGTACTGCCGTACACGTTTACTACCGTACTGGCAATATATGTTGCCGCGTAATGCGTAACGCAGGGGGGTGCGGCGTAACACGCGACCAGGCTAGTGCGACAAATTTTCGTTGCGTTCGTAACGCGCATCCGGTGGGGTGCGGCGATCTTTTCATTGCAGTTTGCAAAAAATGATGCGGCAATAGCAAAAAAATGATGCGGCAATAGCAAAAAAGTGATGCGGCAATAGCAAAAAAAGGACTGCGGCATTATAGAAACCTGTGTAACGGCTGCTGTGCGACTTTGCATGTAACGCCCTGCGTGCGGTAAACATGTGCCAATGTAACGCTTCATGGCCTCACTGCGACCATATATATTGCCAGTACGGTAGTATGTAGAAATCGAGAAGCGATGGAAGACTTGGATATGTTCAACTTTTCTTGCTGCCTGCATGAATGCAAGCGTGCAAAGTGGCTACTTTTGAAATTTGGACGGGTGATGGCGCCACACAGTGACATGCGCAGCGGCGACTTTGCCAATTTGAGCATTTCGAATGGCTGTGCTGCTCATGATAACTTACTGAATGGCTCACACGACCGAGTTGAATTTTACTATTCCGTTATAGCAATCAGCAGAATCAGTTAAGCGGACATTGGACGTAGTAATCAACAAGAATAACATATGGATAATAAAATCTCCTAACCAGTTTTCTAGAGACATTCATCAGGGAAACACGTCTCAATAATGAAATCTAGCAATAAACAACAATGCATACGTGGAAAAGTACGAAATACACAATGTGAAAGAAAAATAGGAAAAAAGAAGGTGAAGTACGAAAGACTAGAGAAGTGTGAACTAATAACAGGGGTGGGTGAAGAGAAAAAAAAGGAGGTGAGAAATAACAACAATGTGAGATTATGAGAGGGCGAAGTGTAAGGTGTACACCCGTGGGTATGTGTGTGTGTATATGTGTGTGTGAATGCTAAGAGAATAGTCTAAGTTTAGTGACATTTTCTTTCTGGATGCATAGGTTGGGGTTATGTTTGCGAATGAAAACAGCTTCCAATACGTTGAGTTCACTAAACCTACGAGCACGGCACAAAGCTGTGAAACAAGAGTCATCATACACTGAACGACACTGACTGTTGGACAACAGGTGTTTCTTTATAGCCGATCTCTTCCTAGTATCATCACCCTCACCTTCAAACCGCTTCCAGTCCACAGCGTTCAAGGTCGAAAGCGGCGCTTGATGAGATGAATGACCTGTCAGCTACAAGAGTAGCAACACCACCGTAGCCTTTCGCTGGCAGGTTATCAGAATGGGTTGTGGGTAGGCGGTCCAGACGGGATGGCGTGTAGCCTGGAATTGAGATGTCTATGGCAGCTGTCAGGCACATTTCACACAGGCAAACTTTGTCTGGAGAATACTGATGACAGACTTGACTAAGCTCGGGTAGCTTGTTCACTATGGAGCGGCAGTTAAGGGAGAGTACTGAGAAGGATGGAGATAAATGAGTGGGTTGCAGGGAAGAGTAGAACCCGGGTTAAGGGTCAAACCGGATTAGGGATCGGAGCCGGGGGGGGGGCTGCTACATCCCAGATTAAGGGTCACACCGGATTAGGGATCGGTGCAAGGGGGGGGGGGGGGGGTCCCGGGAGTGAGTGTATTGATTGTTTTGATGGCATACTACGGAGCTACTCCTAATAATACATGTACATGAAGCTGACTCTGCCCTAGAATCCACTACAATACACTACAATATCTATTCTTTCTTTCTTATTCTTGATATCTCTCAGACCAACAACACTAGCAAACTTCAGTAGGTGCACTAGTAAGAATCTCATGGGAGCACATGAAAGAAATCCAATGAGAAGATCATCTGAACTACAAGAATTGCAGCTTTCAGCAGCGGATTATATACCAGTGTGTTAGAAGCCGTTGCATGCGACGGGCAAAGCACAGGATTGACACGTTATTACACGAAGAAATAGGAACTCATCACACATCATCAGTCAATCGCAGAGTAAAGCAGATTACGTGGTGTTCTACCAATTCAAGACTATAATGTTTCAAAAACAAAAGGTATGAAGAGAGAAGGGGAAATAATAAAACCATGGTGAGAAGAGGAAATTACAATTCTACACTCCCAACTCTCCAGGCCTAGCCATACAGCATGAACACACTTTACCCATAATCATCATGTGTGCAGATGTGATGAAAAACATGATTGCATCTTGAGCAAGACCTCAGCACGAGGGTGGCAGGCCGGGAGCACCCTGGCTTATAGCACCTCATGCTGTTGGCATTGGGCGAAGAACCTGCCTGCTGGGTGTGAGGCATGGGTGAAATAACTACAGGCAGCGGCACTGCGGTGGTGGGAGATAACTGTGCATGGGACATTGGGGATACACAGGATAGAACTGGCAGTACAGCAGCGGTAGAAGATGGAGGCACACCGGATGCGACGGTTGACGCAGCAGTGATAGAGGATGGTTGCGCACAAGGAGGTGGAGGGACATGGGAAGCAGCTTGTGGCACAGTGGTGGTGGGAGGTGGTTGCGCTGAGGCTGCTGGAGGCACACAGGGTGCAACCAATGGCATAGAATCTGCTGGCACGTGCTGGATTTTCTTTGTCCAGAACTCGATCGGGTGCTCCTCAAACTTCGTGGCTAAGAAGTTGCAGAAATCTGCTCTCTTGGGATGTGTTGCTGAACGGGGCATGGTGATCTTGGCAGCGTGATGGCTTATGAATGCTTTCATAATGGGGATGGTTACACTGGCAGCCATATCAGCAATGTAGCCACACCTGTACAGTACATAAGCGACTGGATCACTGGCATCCTTCTTCGCCCGCTTTCTCTCTGCTGCCTCCAGAATTTCAACACTCTTCCGTTTGTGCTGCTGCACAAGCTCAGCAATGCGTGCCGGTTCGTTGAGCTGCTTGGGTGCTGCAAAGCTCTCGCCGATAGCGTTTTTCTTCACCGGCTTCTGACGTTTATCAGATGTCACTGAGCGAGGAAGAACCAGAATAGCCTCAACACCTGTCGTGGTCTTTTTCTCTGGTAACTGCTTGGTCTCTTCCAAGGATAGAGCTGCATTCTGGGCAGGAGTCACTTCCGAATCCAGGGACTGGAGTAGTGGTGATGTAGCAGAGGAGTGTACCCTTTCGAGTCTCTGCTCAAAAGCACGGAGCTGTAGCATGCGCAGCGAATCCTCAGACGATGAAGGGGTGGATTGTGAGAGCTGAGTACCTGCTGCAAGCGACTTCGATACAGTGAACACGTGTGAATGTTCCTCAACCCAATTGCGCTGGAACGGATACAAACCGGCTTAAGAAAACCCAGCCTGCACTGTGCTTGGGGTCAGGGCTGCCTCAAATGCCTTTGAGATGACCTCGGCAACTTTCCACTTGTTCACAGCGTTGAAGCCCTCCTCTACCCGAATGCTGTGCAAGAACTTGCGGAAGTGGCTCTTCACTGGACGAAAGCAGGTGATATCCAGTGGCTGGAGCTGCAGAACATCGGGAATCATGGCATGGGAGTTGTAGCCATCACAGACGAGGAGGGCCCACTCATGCTCCTTCCTGGTGCCAATGTTAGCCACCAAGTGCTTGGCGAAGGACAGGTATGCATCATCCGTCATGTACCCCTTGTCCGTGAGCACAACAGCAGACCCAGGCGGCGTTCCCTTTATTCGTCCATCCATCATGTGCTCAGAGTTGAACCTCTTCCCAGGTAGAATGAACAAGTTTGGTAGATACCGGCCATCTGCTGCAATGGTCGAGGCAACCGAAACATGGTCCCGACTGTTGCCAGTGGCAGCATGCGCATGCCTGGAGTTTTTTCTTGTTACAACATAACCCGCTGTCATATTGAGAGTAAACCCAATCTCATCCATGTTGAGCTCCCGCTCGGCAGTCAGCTTGGCGCCCTTGGACAGCTCCTCCACTCTTTCAATAGACTTCTGTAAGAGCTAAAAAAATGAGCCGATCAAGGTTGGGTTGAGAGCTCCCATTCGATTCCGCTCCAATGGGGCACTTCTGAGGCGAGCTAGATCTGGGTATCGGGTCTTAAATCCATCAACCCAACCACCACCTGCCACGAAGTGCTCCAAACCAGCACTCTCGCCCAGTTTCACGGCCATGGTTCGGATATCGCCCCAATCAACACCAAATCCTAGATCTGCCAGCTTCAGGATCGGGTCATGCAGTTTGTCCTCAATGGACTGGGGCAGTGCAGTATTGGGTCCAACAGTAGCAGAAACTGACAAAACCCCACTCACTCGACGTTGGAGGACGGCGAAGGGAATTCCAAATGAACACGAAGACTCTCTGATTGACATCGCTCCATCCTTGTGCGCTTTCAGGGCTGCCTCCAATCGCTCCAATGGCTCGCCAGTGGACCAATCCAGCCTCTCCGTTGCTGTTTCAGGTCTTGGAGCAGACAAAGAGCGAGAGGAAGCGCTGGGTGATTGCGGCGAGGTAGCCTGCTCAGAGGAAACTAAACGAGCTTGCTTCGTCAGCAGACGCCCACTGGGATCCCGGGTATTTGTCCGATGAAGTCCGCCCCTGCTACCAGCACCACTCCGTGGTCGTCCACGAGTGGGCACATTCCCTTGGACACCTGCTGCTGTTGCACTGACGTTACTAGCAGTGCCTGGAGTGCTGGCTCGCGCACGGCTGGCGAAAATGCTTTGCCACTGCTGTGCCTGCTCTTTCTTCTTCTCAGCCCTGGTATCGTGCTTGTCGTCGCCATTGAGTGTGTCCTCACCTTTGTTGTCGACCTCGTCATTCAAGGTAATATCGCCGGAATCAGCGTTCGCTGCCGCTTGATTTTGACTATTGAATCGCTTTAGGATCAGTTCGTTCTTGTATTCCGCCATTCCTCAACAGTCACACTTTTTCCTTTATTGGCTTTCTGGAACTCGTTCCAGCGTGGTATTCTCTCCATTTCCAGACCATCACTCACTCGATAAACACTCAATAAACAAAACGAACTGCACAAGGAGGGCCGTTTCGTTTACCGAAAGCGCACAACAGAATGCACCACGTACCGTGTTGAAAAGGAAGCATGCCAAAAGGCCTCGCGTAGAGTCTACCAATGCTCCCAAAAAGGGCACTTCCTTGTACTAATCGGCGAGTGCGTACGCACTTGGCACGTACATTATGCGGGGGATCCTTATACCGGGATTTAATTTTCCGGCCCAAGGGGGGTCCCCCGTCGGTTTCCGAGGAAGCCGTAACTTTTTTCGCTCCAAACTATTTTTCCGGGGTCCATCCACTCACAAAAAGTCGTTTTGCACACTTTTTTGCCCATCCCTGTACAACTGAGTCCAGCTATGTCCGCGCAGAGTTAGGTGGATCCCTAGCCCGGGTTCTACTGTACTCCTTGGGTAGAAAGGGTTGGCAGTTGGGTTTAGCATGGAGGCGTGTGGTACCGGAATGTGGGTGGTTGTGGTTGTTGGCGAGGATAGGATGTAGGTTCATCAAGATAAGGGAAATGCATTGCTGTCATATGTGTTGTGCTGACTCACCACTTTTGGCACCGTCGTCGGAGTGAAATCGCCATTTCGGACGCTGTGCTGAATAGTAGGCGGCCAGAACGAGTTCTCGAGTATCTTCGCTTCATCAGCAGCAGCCACTGTTACTCGGGCGCAGCATATCCCGAGTTACGCATTCTCGGAGACAGAGCAGTTCAGGACATTGACATCACGTGATTTGCACCATTCTGTGATGGCTTCACTGTTGCAGCCAGGGCTCACGTTTCCCACATAATGGACCAGCTTCGGTACATTCACCACGTCACTACGGACTTTCGGGGCGGCCTTAGGTGCGGGCTTGGTGTATCTGGGGGTGACTTTCCTGCGTACAACTTCCTTCCAGTCGGTGCTGGGGTCGAGTTCGCAAGATACGGGCCTAGCTGAGGTGGCTGCTGGACACGTGGAGTTCGGGATGCTTGCGTGCTGGGGTGTGAGTGTACAGCAGGAAGTACTCCCTGGTGTATAGCAGTGCTGTGTACGGTGGCGGGATGTGCTGTGCAGGTGGTGCAGGTGGTGGGGGGTCTGGTCGCTGAACCCCTGCTAACTGACTCTGCGTACCCTGGTTTGGGTAGTGCCCACCTAACTTCAGCAAGCTCTGACTTGATGTCCACAATTGCGGTTTTCATGCAAGAAAGGCTTTCCACCTCCGTAGTAATTTTTTTTACTATTTCAAGCAGACTAGTCATGGTCTCATCCTTGCTAACACATGCACTGGACTTACAGCTCCATGCGGATCCTACACCAACTCCTCGTAGGGCTGTGACTAGCTCCGGCCTGGCCGTCGAACTTGTTATAAAGTACGCATGCAAGATTCAGTCCATGCAGCTCGCGTATACCACAGCAGGAAAAACACCATCTGGTTTGTTCTAGGATAATTATAGAAGTGAAGATGTAAAGGGCAATCATGGAGAGCTAAGCTGAAGAGACACGTCAGCGTTGTCATGGCACTAATGGCGTTATAACACGGCAGTATAGAACTTGTCAACCCAGTACCCAAAGTAAGACACACGTCAGCCATGCAGACGTAATGTAGAAGAAGACTGATTCATAATGAGGTAAGACATCGTCACTCTTCCTCATGCATGCATCGAAGGAACGTAGAACGACACACGTAGTAGAACGTAGATCGTACAACAAATACGATAATAGATCAATCTATAACAGAGCTCCAGTCCGGAACAGCATGATGGCGGGCTAGTTCCTTGATGCAGTCAAAGCCGAGGACAGAGAGGTCGGTGATTATGTCCAACGCCATGGTGAGAGGCACTATGGGTATCCACGTTACAAGTATCACTGGCTAAGGGCTCAAAAACACTATGGGACCTATATAGAAGAACGATTTGGGGCGGAGCTCCAGAAGTTGCATCCGCTCCCCATGGACTTCGCCTGCCCGCGAATATTCGAATTTTCGAACCTTCGACCTAGATTTTATCCGATCGATTATTCGTTGAGGTCTAAGAGATCGAGGAAATTCGAATAATCGATAATTCATTACATCACTAGTATTTGCCCATCATGCCTACATGTCTATTTTATTTGTGACTGTGTGTGTGTAGATGACCCAAGGCTTGTCATGGGTGCTAGTTCACGATCTCCTGTTTGGACCGGGTGTACAGTGTGGCGGTCAGTTGAAGGAGACATTCACTGCGCACCAGACTTGTCTTGAGGAGGCGTATGCAAGTGTGAAGGAGAGTTCCCCATCATTG